GTGCTATTTCCATGGCTGTCCGGTGCCCCTTGCAGGGGTTGACCAGCTCGTGTGTCCACTAGGTGATCATGGACACAGGGATGTCTGGTGGGTGGGGTACAAGACGCCTCCTAGTGCTCCCTCACCTTCCCGTCCTGTGTGACTCCATAAGAAAGGTGTGTGAGTGGTCTTGTCACACCTTACCACGCAGGTGATGCTGGGCCAAGAGAGCCAGTAGGGGGGAGGGGGGAGGCAGCAATGTTAGGGGCAAGGGGAAGTGGGAGGGGGTGTCTGCATCCTCCCAGCTCTGTCCCAGGGCAGTGACCCTGCCTGGTTATTCAAAGTTCAAGAGCAAGGCATGTGGAATTTGAGTATTGTGAGGTGTTTCCAAAACCTTGGCTTTATCACCCTCTCTGGGGACCTTCCTGCCTGGTATCTTGTGGGAAACAGAAAGATTTCTCCTAAGTTGACTTAGCTGCTTGCTACACATGGTAAATGATTATACACTGGGAGGTCAACAGAAGTAGGTCAGGGGCTATTCTCCCTAAGGGTTATTAGCCACCCAGAGGAAGCAGACACCACTGCTTATCCCACAATAAGTAGGGCCCACTCCCTTCTGATAAGGATAGTACCAAATTGTTTCACTGAAGGAGAGCCCAGGGAGGTCAAGCCCACTCAAGGGTGACCAAGGTTAAGCCACCTTCATGAATCTAGGGTCCACCCTTCTTGTCACATGTATACCTCTATCCCTCCCCTTCCTATCATGTGCACATACCTAGCTCATCCCCTTCCTGTCACACTTATGCCTATTGTACATCCCCTTCCTGTGATGTGTATGCCTGTTGGAAAGCCCCTTCCTGTGATGTGTGTGGTTACCTATAATCACACCCCCTAAAGAGATATAAGCCTTGGTTAGCAATAAATATCTCTTGCTCCAGCCCTCTCCAGCCTGTGCTGTGCATGGACCTGGCTGTTGAGATCATGGCCATCCAGGAGGTGAGCATGCTACCATGAAATGTGTCTGATTTCTTTATTTTACTCTCTCTCTTGTCTCTCTCATTCTCTATGGCTTTATTATAATCTTTATATATCTCAACCATACAATTGCGCCTATCAAACCCGTGATTAGTTGTGGGGTCTGGTCTTTCCCCCACAGTATCTCTTCCATGAGCCTCAACCTTCCACAGGCAGCCATGAATACATGTTTTCACCCTGGACCTTCCACACAGCCACGGACACCTGCTCTCACCGTCGATGATGAAAACACTGAAGAACTCTGTCAGTGTCTTCCATTGGAGATTAATCAAACATCCAATCAGGATGCATTGATAGTTGTTGGTGATTGGAATGCTAAGGTTGGAAACAAAGAGGAAGGAATAGTAGTTGAGAGATATGAACCTGGTGATAGAAATGACACTGGAGAGCTCATGATAGAATTTTGTGAACCAATGACTTGTTCATAGCAGATACCTTTTTCTTTCTTCCAACAACACAAAAGGCCACTATGCACATGGACTTCCCCAGATGGAATTCATGGAAATCAAGTTGACTACAGCTGTGGGAAGACACGATGAAAAAGCTCAATATCAGACCAGGAACTGACTGTGGAACAGACCATCAATTGCACATATGTAAGTTCAGGATAAAGCTGACAAAAATGAAAGCAATTCCACAAGAGTGCAAGTATGACCTGGACAGTATACCCATTGAAATGTTTCAGCAAGCTGAAGAAGCACCGGAAGCTCTTGCCATCTATGCCAGGACATTCGGAAGACAGGTCCCTGGCCAACAGGCTGGGAGATCCATATTTGTGCCTGTTCCAAAGAAAGGTGACCCAGAGAGTGCGCAGACTACAGACCAGCATCACTGATATCTCACACAAATAAAGTTACTTAAGATCATCCAACAATGGTTACAGGAGCATGCTAAAAGGGAGCTGCCAGAAGTCCAGGCTGGATTCAGAAGAGGACGTGGAACAAGGGATGTCATTGCTGATGTCTGTAGGGGGGAGGGGGGGGACTTGGCTCAAAGCAGAAAATACCAGAAAGATGTTCAGAAAATACCAGAAAGATGTTTACTTGTGTTTCATTGACTACCCAAAGGCCTTCGACTGTGTGGGCCATAGTAAACTATGGATAAGCTTGCGAAGAATGAGAATTCCGGAATACTTCATTGTGCTTGTTCATAACTTATACATGCATCAAGAGGCATGTTGGAACAGAACAAGGGAATCCTGCTGGGTTTAGGATCAGGGAAGGTGTGCATCAGGGTTGTATCTTCTCACCATACTTGTTCAGTCTGTATGCTGAGAAAATCTTCGAAGAAGATGGATTATATGAAGAAGAGGTGGCATCAAGATTGGTCGAAGGCTTATTAACAACCTGGGGTATGCAGATGACACAAGGAATTGAAGCACTTGCTGACGAAGATCAAGGGTTGTAAGCAAGACCAAAACCCTCACCACTGAGCCAATGAGAAACATCATGACAAATGGAGAAAAGATTGTGAGGAGTTTTGTCTTATTTGGATCCAAAGTTAATGCTCAGGGAAGCAGCAGTCAAGAGATCAAAAGACATATTGTATTAGGTCAAGTCTGCTGCACAAGGACCTCTTCAGAGTGTTGAACAGCAAGGATGTCACTTTGAGGATTAAGGTGTGCCTGACCCAAGCAATGGTATTCCCCATTACATCATATGCATGTGAAAACTAGATATTGAATAACAAAGACTGTAGAAAAGTCAGTGCATTTGAATTGTGGTGGTAGAGAAGAATATTTAAAGCACTAGAGACTGCTAAAATAGCAAACCTAGTTGGTCTTGGAAGAAGTGCGGCAAGGATGGTGAGACCTTGTCTTACAACTTTGGACATGTTGTCAGGAGAGACCAGTCCCTGGAGAAGGACATCGTGTTTGTTAAAGGGGAGGGGTGGCAGAAAAGAAGAAGGCCCTCACTGAGCAGCTGCACCAGTGGCTCAGGAAGAGGGACAATGGTGAGGCTGGCGCAGGACAGAGTTTTCACGGGGTCTCTGGGGGGTGGGAGCCCACTCAATGGCACATAACAACCACATCTTTGACCTTCCACACACAGCCCCAAATATCTGCTCTCAAATACCTGTTAGGGGGTGGTAGTTACATAGTCTCCTGTCAACTTGAGGATCTTAAGAATGAAGGGGTGGAGTTTAGGTGGCAGCTTGAGGTGTGATGGAGATAAACAGCTCACTGGAGGCCAGATCCACTCTCTGTGACTTCCCTTTCCTGCTGTTGAGACACTGAGAGAGCTGGAGGAGACACGTGGAGACCCGTGCCAACGTTAAGATGCTTCCACTGCCACAAGACCTTCTACCCACTGGCCTGTGATCTTCTTGCATTCCGCTTTATTGCATGTGCTGTGTGAGTCTGAAGACTAGTATTGAACATATGGGCTAATATTGGATTTATGGACTGGTCTGGGATGTTTTCTCAATGTACAATTGCTCTTCGATAAGAAGCTCTTTGTTAAAAAATAATTTTATTAGGGGCACATACAGCTCTCATCACAATCTATACACACACCAATTGTGTAAAGCACATTTGTACATTCATTGCCCTCATCATTCTCAGAACATTTGCTCTCCACTTAAGCCCCTGGCATCAGCTCCTCATTTCCCCCTCTCTTTCCCAGATCCCCCCTCCCTCATGAACCCTTGATAATTTATAAATTATTATTTTGTCATGTCTTACACTGCCCTATGTCTCCCTTCACCCACTTTTCTGTTGTCCATCCCCCAGGGAGGAGGTTATATGTAGATCCTTATAATCAGTTCCCCTTTCCCACCCTACCCTCCCAGCCTAACACAGTGGTGAGCAGGCCTAGGAGGACACCCAGTAGGTGCTCAAAAAGCACTGCCTCTCACTCACTGCCATCGAGTCGAAGCCAACCCACAGTGGTCCCATAAGACAGGTAGAAGTGCCCCTGTGGGATTCTGAGATGGTCACTCTTTACAGCAGCTGGTGCTTTTGAACTGGTGACCTTGCAGTGAGCAGCACGATGTGTAACCGCTGCATTAGGTTCTGCCTAGGAGAGTGGCACATAGTGGTGCTCAGAGGAGCAGTGTGTAGTAGGAGCTCAGTGAACACTGCTCAGAGGAGCAGCACACAGTTGGTGCTGCCTAAGAGATTGGCACACAGTAGGTGCTCAGTAAACACTGCCACAGCCCACCGCCCTGCCCGCACCTCCAGGTCTCATTCCCAGGAGAGGACAGTGAGTGCTGGGGGTGGAGGTGGCTAAATTGGTGAGGGGTGAGGGGACAAATGACCTTGCTGAGGACCACTGTATGGGGATGGCTACAGCAGCCAAGGAGCATCAGCATCCAAGGTCAACAGTAGCCACAGGATAGGAATCCAGATGTGCAGCAACAGGAATAGAGGGGCCGGGGGTCGGGGAAGTCTGAGGGTTCGGGTTCGGGATTCTGAGAGTGGGATGGGGTTCTAGGGTTGGGAGATGTTGGTGGGGGGTGTTGGGGTGAGGGAGGTATGGGGTGAGGGCCATCTGAGGCATTGAAGGCATCTAGTTTGGGGTTTCCTTAGAGGAGCACAGGCCTCCAGCTCAGGGCACCCCCTCACAGGCTCCCTCCAGCACCCCACCATCCCTTTCTGGACTGGAGCCACAAGATGCATTTGAGATGGAGACAGGGAAGGAGGAGATGGTGGGAGTTGGGTGCCAGGAAAGGAGCAGAGGCCTGGGGGAATTTAGATGGGCATGAGGCAGGGAGGGCTCAGGGACTTGACTAGGGCTGACTTGGTCCCTGGGGGCCAATGCTGCACCTTCTAGAGGAGGCTGGGGCCTCCAGTGGTGCTGAGGGAGGGGCAAGTTTGAGGGCTGCAGTCGGTGGTCAGTGGTTCCACACACCCCTCCCCGTGCTCCCTTGCACATGGGATCCTGGACTCATGTCCCCCACACTATGACGTCTCCCTTCTGGGACCACCACCAGCATTTGGAGGGGCCACGGTGCCCACCCTGGGGCCTCCATTTCCCCCATAAGAGATGGAGCCAGGTGCCTCCTTGGGGACCCTCAGCTCCGGTGGGCAGACTCGGGGAGCCCTGGACCCCAAGGTCCTGCAGCAGATGGAGCAGGTGGGCTCTGGGATGGCCTTACCTCGGGCTGGTTTTGCAGGAGGCCGGAGTGAAAGTGTTAAAGATAGAAGTAAGGGGGGAAGCAGTGCTTCTGACCTTGAGTCCGGGGCCAGGCAGGGATGATGGATGGGCTGCCTTCATCCTTCGCAGCTCCATCCTTGGCCTGGCCACGGCCTCTGCAGCTGCTCCTGCTTCCAGGAGGACACAGACAGATGCCCGTGGCTCAGCAGGTGAGCTGCTCAGGGTGTGTGGGCCACAGCTACAGCCACAGCTCTGGGTTCCTCTGCTGCCAGAGCCAGGCTGGAATCAGGCCGAGGCAGCTACTTGGTGTGAGCTGTGGACACCCCATTCCCCAGGCTGTGCCCTTCCAAGGAGGAGTGGCCCCAGGAGACCCAGTCCTGGAGCTGTGCAGTGGGGGTGGGGGGAGCACCGGAACCCCTGCCTCTTGCCCACATCCTGCAGGCACTTCAGATGCCATGAGCTTGCCGTAGGGGTGCCTTCTGCATCTCCACACCCCCACCCCATATACGCACACTGCTTCTGCCTGCCAGTGGGAGCTCTTGCCCCCAGGGTCACAGGGAAACCCCAGGGTGGCGGGCAGAGGCAGAGTGAAGACACTGCTCAGGTCAGGGGTCTGACCATCAGGGTGGCCCTGGGTGGATCACGCTGCAGGACCGGCTGCCTGCCCGCAGCAGCTCTCCAAGCCCTGCTCCTTGGGGAGACATGAGGCGGGTGTGCCCGTGCGTGCAGTTCCATGGCTCGATTGGAGGCCACGATGCTGCACAGGCAAGGTCCTTGCTCCACAGCCCACCCAAGGAACTCGGACTGATGGGAGCTGCAGCCGAGAAACCGCATTCGGCCGAAAACTGCCCCCTAGTGACTCACAGGTCAGCAGCTTCGTCAGGCTGCCGGGTCTTTCTCCCACAGAGCAGTGGGTGGGCTTTAACTACTGCCACTTGGTCAGCACCTGAGCACTTGCTTCTCCGCTGCAGCAAAGCTTCCAGGGCCACTCGCCGTAGTCAGGGACAATAAAGCAACAAGCTCGAGGAATGACCGTCCCAGCCACTGCTGGCTCTACTCTCCAACTCTGGGCTGCAGCCCCTGGGCCAGCCAATAACCACCCCTGCCTGCTGCTGACCCTGCAGTCCCCCAGTAGGCAGGTTGCCCGTTTCTTTCTAAGGACCCTTCATGGTTTGAGGTGAGAAAGAAGCTACCACCCTGGCTCTTCCCCCTGCCTAGAAAACTCCTACTCACCCTTCAGGGGCCTTTTCAGATTTCCCCATCCAATGCCACCTCCAGGGAAGCCCATCTCAGCCAGGTGAGGCTGCCAGCTCCACTGTCCCCACCCCCACCCCCCAGGCCAGGCACCTTCTGTAGGTCTGTTCTGCTCACTCCTCCATCTGACACCAGTCGGATCCTGTCCCTGCCCCCCATTCCTTCCCTTTCCCAGACTTTGTACCCATCCAGACACTTGTCCCCACTATAGACCCCAATTCCCACCCTAGAGGCTATCCCCACCCCAGACCCCTCCCCACCCCAGCAGGCCCTGTCCCACCCAGGCCCCCTCCCAGGCGAGCACAGTGCCCTGCCCCCAGCACTCGCTGTCCCATCTGCGGGACACCAGGTGGCCCCGTTCCCACAGACAATGATGTGGAGCTGAGACAGAGCCATCTGTACCCCATCAAAGCTACCTACCTGCTCCACCCCCCTTGAGTTGCCCCAGGGCTAAGTCCAGAAATGGCCAATAAAACCCTGAATTAAGACCTCACCTATCCCCTGTCGACAGGGAGAGGACTCGCAGCAGACCCTGGTGAGTGCTGGGCCATCACCACCACCCGGACGCCACGAGCTCCCCATCTGAGCCCCCAGGAGCCCGTCCTGCCGAGCCTGACCCTGGCAATGGACAGATTCCATGCTGGACAGTTGGGCATGCTGCATTGCAGCCCCTCCTGGAGAGGCCCATACCCGCTGGTGTTCCCCCTGTGTGTCCTGGACTGACGCTGAGAAAGCCGATTTTCTGGCGGATGGCAACCCTGAGGGCTGGCGTCCTTCCTGAAGGACAGTGTGACCCCTGGACACCCCTATCCCCAGTTTGAGCAGAGGACTGCAAGGGGCACATGAAGGACCACAGCACCTAACAACCCCCCAAAACCTCCCTAACAATCCCCTAACATCCCCTCTTAGCAGCCCCTTCACATCCCCTAAAAACCCCTAACATCTCCCCTAACATCCCCCACCGCATCAGCATCAGCATGTAGATTAGTGCGATTGGCATGGGTTACGGGTGCACACATGTGGGTGTGTGGCTTGCACGGACACTGGAATCTGGGAACAGACTGGGGCACACCTGGGCATTTTCTCAGGGTCAGCAGAGGGCGGGTTCTGAATGGTCTTTGTGGGACAGGCAAGGCCACAACTGGAGCTCTTAAAGCAGACAAATGAGGCCACACTTCCCGGCACTTTACTCGACCTGTCCCTCCAGTTAGAACCAAGGAGTTAGAAACCAGTTAGTTTCAAGGCCCTCTGGTGACCCAGGAGGAGGAGCTTGCTGAGGGCTGCTCCAGCCCAGCAGGGGACATGAGTGTCTCCAGACTTGTGCGAAGGCCTCTCTTCAGCTCAAAGCTGTGTTCTCCGCAGAGGCAGGAGGAGGGAGGGGTGCTTCAGTGTCCTTTCATCCAATGGGCAAGGAGGTAGCCTCCTATATGCCCAAAGGTGCTGGCCTGCCTCTGGCACAGGACAGTCCTCCAGGCTACCCCGCCCAGCTCCCAGAATAGTCTGCGGTCAGAGCAGAGCTGGCCTGGAGGTATGGGGGAGTAAGCCGTAGGAAAACATCCTGGCATCCTGGGTGGGCGGGGTAGGCGCCTGGACCGGATACTGTGGGTGGTACCCTGGACCCTCAGGGCAGGCAGGGGAGAGACTGGGCTGGGTCAGCTCTCAAGGCCTGCTGTCCCCCAGCCTCCCACCCCAGGAAGGAGCCCTGGGCTCTTCCAGAATATTCCAGAAACGTGTCACCCGAAGCTTATAGGCCTGTGCTAGATAAGGGTGTCTCTGGGGCAAAGACTGGGGCATTGAGACCCCACCCCACCCTGAAGCCTCTCTCTGCTCCTGGGGGCTGTGAGCACCCCTGCCCATTCACCCTCACCTGTCTCAGTGCCCATCCCTCTCAGATGACGGCTTTGTCGGCTCCTATATCCTTCAGGCACCGTGGTCAGGTGACCATGCATGGCCATCAGGCTCATCGCAAGGTCAGCAGTGTGAACCCCACCAGCTGGTCTGTGGGAGAAAGACGAGGCTTCTCCTTCTGCTAGGAGTTACTCGCTGTCCTAGGGGGTCCCTCAGAGTTGGCATCCTCTGCGCGGCAGTAGTTTGAGATTTTTGAGTCCCAAATCCTCTCCCACAATTACCCATGTCTACACGTCTTTGCCTTCTCATGCGGAGGCTGTGTCCACACCCGCAGCTCTCGGCACCCGCTGTGTCCACTTACAAGTGGCCTTTTCCTTGCCAAGAGTAGCCAGGGTGTCCAGCCAGGCCAGCGAGTGTGGCTCACACACCCCAGGGCTCACAGGCCACAGGAGAGCTGAGCTGGGCTAGGGTCCCAGGGAAGGGAGTGGGGCAGGAGCGCAGAGAACCTATAAAATGACCACAACAACCGAGGCCCCCACTGTTGGGGTGAGGGGTCCTCAACACTCAAATGAATCCTCAGGAGCGACTTTGCCATTGTGCGTGGAAAATATTAGAGAAAGCCTGGTGGGCAGCAGGGCACAGGGGTTCCTCATTCCATGTCAAGACTTCCGATGGGTAGATGTAATGGGACTCAAGACCCTTCATAAGGTAGGCACATCATACAGTCAATGGGAACAGCACACCCAGGTAACATCGACGAGCATTGAGTGAGTCAGCGTCTTGACCTCGTGCTAGTTGACCTCCAATGCCCCTGAGCCCTCCCCGGAGGTTGGCTGCATTGATGGTGGGTTGGCTGTAGAGCCTGAACGCTCTCATCTGCAGACAGCCCTCAGGCCCAGAGAACAACTGCCGCCCAAATGATCCATCTTATATGGTAGGGCACTCCCATTATGGGGGTTGTTGGAGGACTGTGTCCCCTCACGAGAATGTGTGTTGAGGTTTATTTATAGCTCATCACTGTCAGGGTCTCCCCCCACCAGAGTCGGCTTTCCAGACCCGTAATGATGTGCATAAAGGATTTAGCTGTCTGATATTCTCATCCAGACCCTCAGTTTACCACACCCACCTCTTCACCTGTGTGGGGGACAGGGAGGTCGCCCCCTCCTGGATCCCCCATGGTGCCACCCCTCCAGGTCCCTGCTTCTCATGGCAGTCCCAGCCCCCCTGTGGCAGTGCTTGAGCTCAGCCCTTGGGACAGCCTAGGCCCCTCTGCGGTGTCCTGGTAGCTTGTGGCCGCTCCAGGCTCCCCATCTAGGCCCCCTGCTCCCTGCTCCCTACCCACCCCCACCCCCATTCTAGAAAAACGCCCCAGAAGATGCACCCCTCAGCTCTACCAGTTGCTTCCCCTGACTGTTCCCCGTACCTCAGGCCCATTGGAGCCCTCTGGCCACACAGAGGCTGCCCATCTTGGACTAACTGGCCTGTCAAGCCCCATCCCATGATGCAGCCCTTGGCTCTGGGAAATCCGTGGGCCCTCGGGTGGCACCAGGTCAAAATCCTTCTTCTCAGCACCACACTGGCTTGCCTGTCTCCTGGGGGCTTGGGGCTTTCCTTTGCCCAGAGGCACTGGGTCTCGGCCTGCAGGCTGCGCCATCTGGGTCCCCTCCTCAACACTGTGTCACTCCCCTGGACTGTGGCCCCAAACCCTCCAGGACCCCCAGCTGTGTCCCAGCCTTGCCTCTCCCTGCCTAGTGACTTCATGTCCCCCAAGCCACCAGCCACCCCTAGGCCTGGCTGAAACCCAGAAAACATCATGCCACAGACACCCTTGCTGCCCCCAAATTCCCCTTCTCAAAAGCCTCCCCAGACAAAACACAACTCCCTGCCATCATGTGGGTTCTGACCCACAGGACCCTGTAGCACAGTCGAACTGCCCCTGTGGGTTTCCCAGGCTGTGAGTCTGCAGGGAGCAGAAAGCCTTGTCTTTCCCAGAGGAGCAGCTGCTGGGTTCAAACTGCTGAGCTGGTTGTTAGCAGCCTACCTGCAACCCATTGTGCCACCACCCCCCTTTCTCTGCCCTCAGCGTGATCCCTGACACCACCGGCATGGTTTCTCCCATTGGCTTATCCAGGGAGGTGGGGAGGGGCGGCGGTGGGGGGCTGGCTTTTGGCAGACAAAGCCCAGGGCCTGGCATGTACTGGGTATTGCTCATGGGCAGCCCCCCTGACCCTGCAGGTCATAGACCAGCAAGCAGAGCCCCGACCAGGTCTGTCTCTGCCCTGGGCACTCTGCATGGAAGCCACACCATATCACCCTGCAGAGCCAGCGTGGACAGCCAGGTGGAAGCCAGGCCAGTGTCTGCTCCAGGTCACTCTCTGTGTCCCAGGTCCCAGAGTCATGACACAGGTCTCCTCTGATTGTGTCCTGCCTCTCAGAGCTTCTGTGCCCCAGGCCCTGGGGCATGACTGTGCAGAGGGCACCAGGGACCCCTGTCTTGCTGGGATTTAGGGAGTACTAAGCAAAGAGACAACAGGTTCCAAGAGTGCTGGGTATTAGAGAAGGCCCCTCAACCGAAGAGGAGACCAAATGGACGACAGGAGGGAGGCACCTGAGCTGAGACCACTGTTCCTGGGGATGGGGATGAGCAGGGCCTCCAGAAACCCCCAGGCCCAGGTGTTGGTGGGGTCAGGTCACAACGATGTACCCTGGGGACACTGGATCACATCTGGGAAGCATTAGTAGCTACATGGGGGGCTTGCTGAGTGGGGGGATGAGCCCAGCTCCAGACTTTTCTTATGCCCACCAGATATAAGCCATGGGGTCTCAGCCATGTTCTAAATCTGAACTTGCCTCCTCCCCCAGATACACATGTGTGCATGCATACCCTCACACTTACATACAAGCACCACAGATGCATACCTCCCCAATCACAGATCAAATGTACACATGCACACACACCAGTGCACATGTACACACAGGCACACATAATGGCACAAACGTACAAGCACACACATGCAGACACACCAAGCCTGCACACAAGTACATGTGTGCACACGTGCACGCTCACTGGCGGTCCTGACATCTCCCGTCTTTCTTCCCTCGGCTGTCTCAGACTGCTCCCTGGATGATAAGGATGCAGGAGTGAAACACCTGGTAGAGTAAGCTGTCAGTAGCCTGGCTTAACTCCAATCTACTGTTCCCTCTGGTCTCCACTTCCCTGACCCCGGAGGCCACTCCACAACCTCTGGGCCTTGTCACCTATCCAGCTGTATTCCACAGGCCAGAGGGCGGAGGCGGCCTCCTCCCTATGTCCAGTATCTAGGGGGTGAGCTACTGAATGTGGGCTGGGCCGGACTGTAAGATTTGTGGTGGGGGGCTCCTGGCCTTTACTTCGCAGTGCAGAAACAAAACCAGAGAGGCTGGTGAGATGCCAGACCTACACAGCATGAGAATGGATGCAGGGCTGGGATCCAGGCTGCAGCCCTCTCCTGCTTTTCCGGGTTTCTCCATCACCTGCTCTGGACTCTTGCAGGCGCTTTAAGCGGCCCATCAGAGGGCACTGGCCTTGTGTTGGGGACTTACCTGCTAGCTGCTTCCCATGCCCGCTTCCCTAATTGAGGCTTTTCATGTTTGACACCCTGTTAATTAATAGTTCCTATTGGATGCAGGGGGCCCAGGCAGAGTCTCATCCCCAGGAGACCACGTTGGATGGGCTGCCTGCCTTGGCCACGGCTTGAAGCACAGGAGACACACACACACACACACACACACACACACACACGCCCACAGCAGGGGAGGTGTCTGCGCATGGGGTACCTCTCAGTGCCCTGGTTAAGGCGCAGGTGTGTCCCCTTGGGGTAGGTGGGGAAAGCATGTCGGGGACCCTGGATTTCCTTCTGGATGGGACGAATTAGGGCTCTCTTCTAGCCAGACCCGACGCCGCGCCCACCGCGGCGGCCCCGCGCCCCTTCCTTCTCCTCCCCCTGGCCCAGTGAGGGGCGAAAGCTGGCAGGCCCGCCGGCGGGAGCAGTTCCGGAGGTGCGGACGCCCCGCTGCTCAGGGAGGGACCAACTTAGCCTCGGTTTGGCGCGAAGCCCTTGGAGAGGAGCGGAGGCGGCAGGCGCGGGTGCCCGGCGGGTCCCCGGGCGGGGGTCTTGGGAAGGGCCGCGACTGCCCTTCTCACCAGTGTCCCGAGTGACCCGCCTCCCTGCCTGCTCCTCTGGGCCACCTTTTCCATCTTCTCCTCTCCGAGCACAGGAGGAGGAGCCCTGACCCGCGGCTACGGCCGCAGAGGCCTGGTGGGCACGGCCGAGGGGAGGAGGAAGGAGCGGGCGGGCGGGAGATGAGAGTGCGGGGCCGGGCTCGGCCGTGACTCTCGCCAGTGCCACCGCTCCGCCAATCCGCGCGCTCTGAC